CCATTATCTTCGGTGATATCAACACAATTGTTACCTTTAAATACTAAACCATCATTACACCGAAGACAATTATCTTTTGTAAATGAAAGACAGTTTGTGTATTCTTCACACGTGTTTGATTTGGTATTGTATGTCAAATTCTCTTTGCATTTCATGCAATTACCATTGTCACCATCACACATCACACAATTTACATCTTGACATGCTGCACATCTTCCATCGGTGGTCTTACCACCCTCAGAACATGGTATATGATTTTGACAGATGAAAATGCCGTTTTGGAAGTGCCCCGACTTGCACGACGTGTTATTGTATTCAAACCCGTTTGCCGCAACAAGAAATACGTTTTTTGTGATTGTAAAATTATCTAAATCTACTTGTTTGTCAGACTCCATCTCAATTTCAATAAATTCGGTGAGTGACAAATCGTATTTTTGGTTTCCAATCACAATCACATTTTCTTCATTTTCTGCGCTTTTTACATTTAAACTCTGTTTTATTGCATCTACTTTGACTTTCATTTGATAAAAGGTGTCAATTGGCGTGATGTATGCATCAGTGAGTGGGCAATAACTTTCGATGTAATATGGATATCGTGTGTCTTCAGTGTGGTTCACATGACAATATATCTTATCTGAATCACCATACCGCAATAGGTGACTATCTAAAAGTACTTTGAATGGGGTTGTGTATGATGACGTGTCAAGAGTGTTGTTTGTGTACAAAAAGTCGAATTCACCATCGTGTTGAAAAACATCAAATCCAGTTATTGTAACTGAGTTAGATACAAAAAAGAGTGGAAGATCTTTGATTGTTCTATTTGTGGAGACTTTAAATGTGTTTGTCAAATTAAAAATGAGATTTTCTGTTTGAATTGTACTTCGATTATCAACAACAAATTCTCTTGTCAATTCAAATGATTTTGATACAAAATTAATTCGTTGTGTCGAACTTGATATTTGAAAAGAATCTCTAGATATTTTAAAGATAAAAGAGCCAAGCAACTCAACATGAGAATTTTCATTGATTGTGATTTGACTGCTTGCTTTATTTGAAAACAAATTTAAACATACTAGTCTTGATTTTCCTGAAAGTGTATTTGGAGATGTACTACCACTTAAAGATATATTACCTTCCACAAAAAGGATAGCATTTTCCGAAAGTTTAAATAAAGAAGTTTCAAAAATGACATTCCTAACAGAATTCAGCATGGAATTTCCAGAAAGATTAATTATTGAATTCGATTTTAATTCCAATTGATTAGTATTTATAATTGAATTACCAGTCGCATTACACGTACTTTCAAAATCCAATTTAAACAATTCAGTAACATTTAAAATGCAATTTGATTCGAGTGTGATATATCCTTCTGAAAGTTCCAAATTCTTATCTGTTTTTAAAGTCGAGCCAGTTGTCATTTGTAACTTACTTGATGTAATTATAACCGACTTTGTATATTCACACACATTATTTTCGGTTAAGACATATTCAGATTCTTTCATTTCTTCTGGTGGACATGTTAATAACGCCAATATGTTCAACACAAATACAAATAACAAATTTATCATATATACTTATATTTTAGAGATACTCTTAAACTTTTTAAATATACAATTTAGATGGTTTAGTTATCATTTCTTTACCACACTTCCTTAAATTATATTATACAGTCAGTTTTTAAACGTTATCTTGTCTCTAACGGTATCTAATATTTTTTAATCCGATAAAATTGGAATATTTAGGGAAGTCTTTTAAAAAATTTATCCCAATCGTTTCAAGTTTTTTTCACATTTAACCTAATGCCCGATGTTTACATATTAATCAAGCTTTTTTGTTTACAAAATAACGTTAAAAGACAAACTATAATTGAATCATCCACTCAACCATAATTCTTCATATTCAAAACTACAATAAAACTTGATACACAGATAGCAAAATTAACTAAAAATTCATTAATTTAACAAACAATGTTTATTGTTCATTAAAATTTGATTGTATGTATAATTAAACATAATGGATAAAATACCTTTTTCTTCTTTTTAACCTCTATTTATCTTTACAATAGTTCTAACTAATAAAATTGAAATTATAAATAAATACAAATTACCACTTCGATTAGATAAGTTTACACGAGGCACATTCAGCTTTCGTGGTAAACAAATTCATTCATTATAATATATAATATTATTTTAATTTAAAGTCAAAGGTTTTTTTATCCTTTTTTGCAACAACAAAATTGTATATATTTTGTTGTTATTTAAACATAATTCCTTATTGTTTTAATTAATTTTATACGAGATTATCAAAAAAATAACTGAATTATTGGTTTAATTATTGTTCCATAAAAAACAACAAGACATTTTTTAAATAAATAAAACTACAGAAAGCTGAAAAATCACTTAACAAAGAAAAAAAGGATTACAAAATTCTTTTTTTAAATTTTAAACAATAACCATATAATATAATAGTGTAACACAACAATTCAATGATTATTTAACTGTGTTTGGATAAAGTTAATACAAACAACTAATTATAAATATTATGTATTTTTGAAATGACATAAATTGTTTTTGTGAGTCCAAACAAATTGTTAATTTATGTACAACTCGATCCAAAGTTGTAAACAACTTGTATTGAATTTTGAAAATAAAACTATTATCATGTTTTTATTATCAAATGTGCTGTTTAGAACACAACGAAATTAACATAAAAATAAATATTTTTATATGGCATCGTCCAACCTTGTAGAGTTTGTTGTAAAACGTTGTCCCATTCGCCAACGTTGTCCTTTTTATCAATTCATACACAAATAATTGTTTAAAACTCAGGGAATTAGGTAAATATTGTAAAAATTGGGAATAATTTGGGAAAAAACTGAAAAGACGATTTTTTTATTAATTAATTATCCGCGCACATTTGCAAGGTTTTCAAGTAGCGAAAAAAGTTTGCTATACAATATACCATCTTTTGATTTGCATAAACAATATAAAAGTGGATAATACGTGTTATTAAAAAACCGTGAATAATATATAATTGTGTAAATCCAGAAGTGACACATGTAAAAGTCCCATCCCCAAGTATAGATTTTGTGCGTGATAAAATTTCGTATGATCCTTCTCTACCCAATATATATCTCATTTGTAACTTCACTAAAATAAAGGTAATGTCCATTCTTTAATTCGTTGAGTGTCATTGGTTTTCCTTCTTTTTTCATTGCCCTAGTTTTCGCATTGCAAAGAGCAGAAGGTTTCATTTCAGATTTTGTTTTATTAATTAACTTTTTGCTGATTTCTCGGGATTATCCACACTGTATTTCACAAAAAATAAACATTTTTCTTTAGCATATTTTTGTAGTTTTCAAAGCCTTCCTTTTTTATTCTCTCTTCCGTTTTGTTGTATTTTTCACTTAACTCGTAAACTTGTTCTTAAATTTCACTACTGACTATTTCTATTTCTTCGGCTATCAATTTTCCTATTTTTTTCTTTGTCATTGTAGTTTTTTGTGCCGATGAATACCAAATACCTTATCAATTGATGTTACTATTCTACGTTCTCCAGTCATTTTAGTTGTACAATGAACTATAAAATAACACCTTATAAATGCACATACTACATCGTTATTTTCATTAAGTCGACACCTTATTTTTTCAACAAAAAGATGTATTCCAACATATTCAAAATTCATCTGGAAATACTGTATTTTTTTTAATTTTACCACAATTTATATGAAATTTTTACTTGCTTGAAATAATTTCAAATTAAACTAAATATTTACTGAAACGCCAATTTCAAATAATTATAAGGTGAAATACAATATATCAAATAAAAATTTATAATTTTAGATTGTATAGCTTGTGAAAAAACAATTCATTGTTTTTATCTTATCTGTTTTTCCTGTTTTTTGTAAAAACACTGTAAAAAACGTTGAATAAAAGTGCTCCTTAATAAAGTGAACTTGTTTTGTGAAGCTCCCATTTAAAAAGTGAGTAAAATAGACAAAAATGAAAAGCTAAAAGAATTGGTTTGTTAAAAGATTATTATTTTTTGGAAAAAAACATAACAGTTTTGTTGTAAGAAATTAGATTGAGTAAGTTGTCGTGTAAATAATATATTACTTTATCAATATAATTTATTAAGTCGTACTTTTTAATTAATTTGGATTTTAATTAATTTGGATTTGAATGTAAGATAATTATACAAAGATAACAAAGTGATTTTGTGAAAATCAATCAATAAAATGTTTTTACTTAATTATCACAATTGCTATAAGATTTTTTTTCATATTTCAGTAATTGCAATAATGTTAAAAACCAAACTTTTTAATAATAATTATTTGTTATCATGTTAGACACATCAAATACATTAACCATGAAAAGGATTTGTTGAACCAGGAAATTTACAAAAAAAACTTTGTTATTGTGGATTCATATGTTTTATTCAAATAAAAGAACAAAAGTATAGCATAAGAGGATAATTAAATGATAAAGTGGTTTTTTCAAAGCTGTCCACAAAAGAAATATTATAATACAAAAGAACAAAAAGTAAAAATATATGATCAATTATCATATAATACTCAAAATGTTAAATTTTTTACAAACATATATCTCACGTTAAAATAACAATAAATTTAAAAATCGAATTTGATAAAAATATGAAGATGTATTTGTAATAGTATCAACAATAAAAATGTAATCATATGCGACTT